CTCACTCCGGACAACAAGCGCAACCGTGAGACAACTTCAGAGCAATGTCTGACGCTGTTTAAGCGCAATCCGAAGGAGTTTCTGCATTGTTTCGTGACAGTCGACGAAACATGGATCCACTGGTATACTCCAGAGACCAAGGAACAGTCGAAACAGTGGACTTTACCCGGCGAAAGTGCTCCGAAGAAGGCGAAGACTGCCCCATCGACCGGAAAGATGATGGCCACCGTTTTCTGGGCTTCACAAGGTGTGATCTACATCGACTACCCGGAGAGGGGCAAAACGGTCACAGGGCTGTACTATGCCGAATTATTGGGCCGATTCGACGTCGAATTGCAGAAAAAACGGCCCCATTTGGCGAAGAAAAAAGTGCTCTTCCACCATGACAACGCACCGGTTCACACCTCCGCCGACGCCATAGCGAATTAGGCTACGAGCTGCTGCCCCATCCACCGTATTCTCCAGATTTAGCCCCGCACGACTTCTTTTTGTTTCTAAACTTGAAAAAGTCACTCGCCGGGCAGAAATTTGAGTCGAATGTGGAGGTAATCGCTGCCACGGAAGCCTACTTTTCAGACCTCGAGGAAACGTATTTTTCAGACGGGTTAAAGAAATTGGAGCATCGCTGGGCCAAGTGTATCGAACTCAAAGGAGACTATGTTGAAAAATAAAACGCCACTTTTCCAAAACTTTCGTTTTTCTTTTGTAGGCTAAGTACTTATCGGACCACCCTCGTATACTGCTATTGATACCGTTGTAAATAATAACGGTATATTAGACGACCTTATTTTACCAAAACAGTTGCATAATTTAAATCCATCAAGTTTACCACCTTACGAATTACGCTTGTGAAAAAATTGTACTGTAATGCTAATTAGGAATATCAGTAATACGAGGGTTGCTACTTATATTTTGAGCCTAATAATGAAAAGACAGTAATTTATTATCTAAAATGGCTTTATTGTTTTTCGAAGTATTCTCCATGATGATAAATGCACTTTTGCATGCGCTCGAACCAATTTTCGTAACACTTTTTCGACTCTGATTGAGGTACCTCCAAAACATGGTTTTTGAATGCATCAACGGCTTCTTCAGGCGCCGAAAAACGTTGTCCACGCAATTTATTCTTGATATGCGGGAATAAAAAGAAATCATTTGGTGCTAAATCAGGGCTGTATGGAGGATGACCCATCAATTTAACGTTTTGACCAGTCAAATAGGAGGTTGTTTTAGCTGATGTGTGAGAGCTTGCATTGTCATGATGAAGAATGATCCTTCGTTGTCGCTTCTTTTTTCGTATTTCACCAAGCACTTCTGGCAAACAAATGGTTGTGTACCATTCAGAATTCACTGTTCTACGATGATCGAATGGTACAGTTGCCACATGTCCAGTTATTCCAAAGAAACAGGCGATCATTTGCTTCGAAGTGCTTCGCGCACGAATCACTTTTGTTGGATTCGGCTCGTCTTGAAAGACCCATACAGTGGATTGCTGTTTTGTTTCGGGCTCATATGCATAGATCCAAGATTCGTCACCTGTGTAGATGTTATACACAGTGTTTGATGCACCGCGATTGTATTTTTTGAGCATTTCTTTGCACCAATTGATGCGAGCATCTTTTTGAGTTTTTGTCAAATTATGGGGGATCCAACGCGAACAAATCTTTTTTACAGCTAAATGTTCATGCAATATCTTATTGATGCTCGTCATACTAATGCCCAAGGATTCCTCAATCTCACGATATGTTACATACCGATTTTGCTTTATTAGTTCGTGCACAGCATCAATGTTTTCTGGCACAACAACTGATTTTGGACGACCTTCACGACTTTCATCCCCGAGCGAACTGCGGCCACGATTAAATTCGTTATACCAGCGTTTCACAGTGGCAAGGGATGGGGCTTCATCGACAAAAGTCGAAGTAAGTTGATCGATGCACTCCTGTCTTGATAGCCCACGACGAAAGTCGTAGAAAATCATCGCACGAAAATGCTCACGAGTTAATTCCATTTTTTGCCCGAGATGAATTTTTCAAGTTACTGTGAACAACACAAATTGCACTCAAATGAAAAAATGTTCTGAAGAAGATTATGGTTAAAAATGTCAAACTTTCCACTGGAAACGTCAGATGGCGCCTCTAAACACTTAGTATTGCCAAGGCTCAAAATATAAGTAGCAACCCTCGTAATGAAGGCTTGTACAATGGAACGAGATTGCAAATACTAGATTTATCGAATCACTTAATAAAATGTAAAATTTTAACAGGTGATAAAGCTAACGAAATTGTCTTTATAAATCGTATAACTTTGTATAGTGAAAATGATTATCCATTCACATTCAAGAGAAGACAATTTCCAATCAAACTAGCTTTTGCAATGACTATTAATAAAGCTCAAGGACAAACTTTAGAAAAAACGGTTGTCGACCTTCCAAAAGACATATTCAATCATGGTTAACTTTATGTAGCAATGTCTAGAGTTAGATCTTGGGATTCTATCAAAATATATTTAGGAAATTATACACAAACAAGAAAGGTTAAAAATTATGTTTACAAAGAATTATTCTTAGAATAAATTTAAATCTATTGTATTAGTATTTTATCTATTGTAGAAATGACTATTTAACCTTCAAATAACATTGTAGAATATATTTACCTCGAGTGCAATACTATATTCCTATGTAAAATTAAACGCTGAATCCATTTCTGGCATAAAAAAATACATAGAATCATAATTGAATGCTTTACAAACGATTTTAAACATTTTTTTTTCAAAGTCCCTACATTGCAGAAGTAAGGTAGAGTATAAGGCGAAAATTTTGAGCCTATAAAATGAGAGAGAGGAGAGATTAGGGCGCCGGCCAGCGCGTGTTAGGCGCGCGTAGCACGGGACGGTAGGAATAAGGGGAAGGGGAAAGAGAGCGATTAGGCCGCCGGCCGGCGTGCGCGACACAGGAGTGAGGAATGCGTACGATTAGTCAAGTCCGGACCTGCGGGCAAGAAAAACGCGAGTGAGTGCATTGGAAATTGAAGGAACTTCCCGACCGATATTACGTGAAGACTCGGTGGTTCTAAGGTCGTTGAGAATCACGCCCCAGGGAAAGGTCATTCGCTGCCCATTACTGCCAGTTGCCCAGAGCGATCTGAGGCAACAGTCGAGGATCGCGGGCAACTGCGAACCCGGGCAGGGAAAACCTTGACTGGAAGGCATGCCGCGAGGAAGAGCCGGAAGCCGACGCAATTTGCGAAAACCGTCGAGGATACCCTTGGCAGCAGCAACTCGGCCCCGCAGCGTAAGTTCCCGACATTAATTGTAAGTGTGCGCGGCCAGAAAGCGAAATTAGATAGTGCGCGTCTTTCTCTCTCTCATCGCGAGCGCGATATACCCTGCGGAATCTCTCGGCCACGGCGTTATCTTTGTATGAACAAACGCGGCGAAGGAAAATAAATCTGTAGATTTTTCGACAACTGGCTGAGACTTTTCCTTTCGAACTCCCTTTGGTTTTCCTCTCCTGTCGCCCATAACAGAACCTGCCCGACCTTGAGTCACTGGGCAACCCGGAATCGCCGCACGTGCCCTCCACGTGTGGGCTTTCTCGGGCTCTGGGGCGAGAGGTCAGAAGATCGAGCTGATCCGAACGAGCTGATCGAGGTGGCGGTCAGCCTCGCAACGCAAGGCATATCCTTTCTCTAACGGGTGAGATTTCTATTCGCGCCCCGAAAGAACTCCCCCGTTACAATATATATATATATATGTTTTTGATATACTTAATTTCTTACTGTATTGTAACGTGACTGGCTACGAGCTGTTCGTTTTCAGCCTATAATAATTTGATTACGAGAGAAATTAGGTACACACATATACATATAATTTGCCTTTAAAAATTACATTTAAAACTTTATTGTTAATAATTGGTTGTTTTTCTGTCAATAAAACCTGAAGAGATCAGCAAATGTGCTGACGAAACGTTGCTGAATATAATTAAAATTAAGTGAATTTTCTATCTCTCACTATTTTCCTTTTTCCATTATTATAAAGTTTATTATCAATGAAATCTTGTAAAAAAAACTAAAATATGTAGAAAAATTAAAAGATGTTAAATTAAGCCATTTAATATCATATATTTGTTCTATGAAAGTTTGAGTTTCTAATTCCAACGCAATAATTTTAAAATTTTAAATTGATTGAAATGAAATAAAAAAATTTTAATTTGATGGTGTTGCTACAGTATATTCTAAATCGCACATATTTAATAATCTACTTTGATAGCTGTTATTTATTATTTAATCTTTAGGTGCTTGGGGTTTAAAAATTTATAAATCACATTTCTGTAGAAACATGGTCTGAAGTTCGCAAGTTAGGGTTACATTAAATAAGGATGTTAATATGTCAGACCCCTGAAACCTAGAGGTTATTCCGGTCCGATATAGTTAAGCCAAATGTTAAAATTTTCAAAATTTCAAAATAACATTCAATTGCAATATTTTTAAAATTTTTAGCTTTATTTAGGTTTTAGATAATCAAATAGATTCATTTTTTATCATTATTTTATTACAACTGACTGAGCATTTATGAATGTATTTTACAAGATTCATCTAACAGTAGCATAAATACACCACTCTATTGTGTATTAGACTTTGCTTCTAAATTCATCATAATAAAAAATATTTACTATAAATAATTGATTAGTTATTATTTGTAAAATACAAATAAATAATTTCATTTTTTATGCCTCTAGGCACTTTTGGCTCTCTAAAGATTAAATTTAATTATGAATCATAATAGCAATAATTGAACTTTCAACATTTAGATCTCTATGAACTTTTAATATCAGTTTTGCATACCTACATTTTGATTAACTACCCTCTGCATTAAACATAAAGCCGTTATAGCAGGATACAATTAAAAATTGTGAACTGTCTAGGTACAGAAAATATTATAACAAACTTAAACTTTCCACGATTAAATTCGGATTGGAGAATAAATAATCAATACTATACCTTCATATCGCTCAACAAGATCATCTGGATCATGTGTTTCAGTAAGATCACTGACCGGAGCATCCCAACTAATGCTGAGCTCCGAGCTTTTTACATAAGTAATACGTAAATTGCTCACAAGACTGGGTACAGAAGCCTCAGTAGTCACGGTGATGTCAACATATCGTGGCTCATAGCCGTGAACACGTGCTATAGTTGAAACGCCGTTTTCAGCAAATACTTGGAAACGGTAAGTCGTGACGGCATTTAAACCTGTTATAGTAATTTTAGTGTCATTGAAAGCATGTTGATTGTTTGGTATATATTTGACGGTATCAGTACTGCAAGCATCACACAGTACTCGATAGTTAGTGTCATTACGGCCACCAAGTTTATAAGGCGGATTCCATGAAAGGATTACTGTAGACTGGTCGACGAAGTTAACAGTAAGATTCTGCGGAGCCGTCGGTGGTTGAGTACAAGCCATGCTTTTGGAATCTTGTGGTGCACGGTAGTAATCAGAATCACAGCGACACTCACTAAATCCATAATCTGACGCTTTACTATGAGCAGGGCAAATTTCACATGCTTGGGATCCAGGTTCATGTTTGAATTTGCCTATCGGACACTCTTGACACTGCTGACGTTTTGGATCGGCTTGATAGCCAGGTCTACAGTGGCAACCACCGCTTGCTAGATACCACTTGCCATCGCCTTTACATAAATATGTTGGACGCTCATGTTGTTCTTGTTGGGCATTTGCTACACACTGACCCAGACTCTGTTCGATTAAAGCAACCTCGCGACCCGTAGGTGTAGCTGAAAATCGAGCGTAATTAACTGTGACTTCGGGACAGCTGATATAATATACCTTAATAGCAAGTAAGGAAATGCAAGCTCCTTGATCTCGAAATGCAAAATATACACCTTTCTTCGTAACAGGAATTGATTTGACTTCAGTGTTGATAATCACCTCGGTATTACTGTTGAAGCGACCTTCATTCGCCGCTATTCTACCAATAAGCTTATAACTATCGGGCTCCCACGGCGGTGGCTCCTTTGTTGCTGCATCAAACTCGTAGTAGAGTAAGCTAAAAGTTTCTTTGCAGCTAAGAGCATTTCCAGGGAAAAGCGAACAATCACGCACTGTGAATTTTATTTCTATATACATGCGATTTGCTGGACCTCGTTCTATAAATGGTGTCCATAACCAGTTGTTGACATTGTTGTATGCCACGTCACACACCACATAGCTCCTCCAGTTTATTCCCTTGTCAAAGTTTGTAAATGATTCCTCGACCCACTGAAACAATTAAATTGTCTAATTAAATTCTACTACATTGATATTATTGGTTTCATAATATTTTTTGAAAAATTAAAAAGATTTTATTACTTTAGATACTTGACAGTAACGTTATAAAATCTGAACAAGAGTGATAAGAAATCAAAGTAATCTACATATCGACATGGGTTTTCTCTTATTTCCATTAAATACTCGATATTTTAATGCCTTTATTTAGAAAAAACTTTTTATTTCATGCAAAAATATCAATGAAATATTCAACAACAAAAATAGTCTAATTCTTAAGAACTTCTAATATTGAATAGTATAATTCAATTTTCAATAATCTCAATAAATTTCATTAAAATTGAGATTAAGAAATATAAACATAAATAATAATATTATAAGTACATTGAATATAAGTTTACATAAAATTTTGTATATATAAGTTATAATAACTATACGAGGTGTGTTCAAAAAGTAAGGTGACTTTTCAAATTTCACGAGCAACGTACTTTCGATTATCGATTTTTTTGTTTTGTTATGTTGGTACACTCTTCCCGAACATCTGTATCAAGTTTCAAGTGTATAGCATTTTTTGATTGGTTGTGAGAGGCGTAAAGGTTATAAGTGTTTTGCGTGCTCGGCGATTTCTTGCTATCGAAAAATATGGATCAAAGGATTTGCATCAAATTTTGTGTAAAAAATAAAATAAAGTGCTCCAAAACACTTGAAATGTTGACGGTGGCATACGGTGAAACTGTTCTGAGTAAAAAAAATGTTTACAAGTGGTACAAACTCTTCCAAGATGGCCGGGAAGATGACGAGCCTCGCTCTAGACGCTCAAGCACGTCAACAACTGATGAAAACGTTCAAGCAGTGAAGAAAATTGTTCTGGAAAATCGTCGAATCACTATCAGAGAAGTTGCTGAGGATGTTGGTATATCGCTTGGCTCGTGCCATGAAATTTTTTTTAACGTTTTGGGCATGAGACGTGTGTCAGCGAAGTTTGTTCCGAAATTGCTAAATTTTGACCAAAAAAACCGTCGCATGAGCATCGCTCAAGAACTCTTGAATGACGTCAACGACGACCCAGATTTACTCAAAAGGGTCATAACTGGTGACGAATCGTGGGTATATGGTTATGATATCGAAACCAAAGTCCAATCGTCCCAATGGAAGAGCCCAGATGAGCCAAGACCGAAAAAAGCACGCCAAGTTCAATCAAATGTCAAAGTTTTGCTCACCGTTTTCTTCGATTACCATGGCATGGTGCATCAGGAGTTCTTACCATATGGACGTACGGTCAATAAGCAGTATTATCTTGAAGTTATGCGCCGTTTGCGAGAAGCAATACGAAGAAAACGCCAAGAATTGTGGAAAAACAATTCATGGCTTTTGCATCACGATAATGCCCCTGCTCACTCATCTTTGCTTGTGAGAGATTTTTCGGCCAAAAACAACACCACAATCATGCCTCAGCTACCATATTCATCGGATTTGGCCCCATGTTACTTTTTCTTGTTCCCAAAACTAAAGAGACCTATGAAAGGACGGAGATTTGCAACGATTGAAGAGATAAAGACTGCATCGCTGAAAGAGCTCAAGGCTATACCGAAAAGTGCTTATGAGAAGTGCTTTGAGGATTGGAAAAACCATTTTTTGAGTGTTATGAGTCTTAAAACTACGACAGGTCAATTCAAATTTTTTCTACTTGGCAAGTATTGTACCTGCGATACAGTAACCTACAATTTCTAGATCCAAGTACAGTACCAACCCTCAAATCACCTTAATCACGATCTGATGGTATTGAAAAGATTCTGAATTAAGATCGACTAGAAAAACCAATGATCACCGTCGTTCTTTCAATTTAAATCGACAACCACTCCGATCAGTTTCTTTTTATCTCATTCAAATCGACTCTCGGATATTCAGTATCAAATCATAACAACATTAAGTATTATTATCAGGTTCTTATACAGGCGTCAGGATTTTTCTATTGAACAACCCTTCTTAAGATATTTAGTTATTTGTATTAACAGTTTCCAGAGAGGCTCTTAGAGCCTTTCTTTCAATTAGTTTCCTCACTTTTATTAAAATTCAAAATGAAAATATATAACAGCTTAATGGCTTAATGATTAAAATTAGAAACATGAATTATGAACACAAATAACCATCTAAGTTTGAAACAAGATGTATTTTTCTTTTTTATTAAACTGTTAGCTATTAACAACATTAAAGTTACAAATATTATAATCGCGTACGACGCTGGTTACAAAAAAAAGTATTACGCTAGTGTCCAGCTGAGCTCCTAGCATATCGACATTAGAAAATTCACAACCGCAAACACCTTAAGTTTTCCACTAGAAAATTCGCGTTGACAAAGAAAAGGTCCAACGTTCTAGGTGCAAGTAGAAGGTAGCTAAAATAAATGATTCTCGGTTTAATTATAGATACGATGCATCTTGAGATAGGTCCGCACGCAAATTCGGATGCTCGATTTTATGACGCTGATCATAAAAAAAGAGACGCAGATGAGGATGTGCAAAAAAAACCGACGAAATACAAATAAAATAACTACCCTACCATTTTTGTGAAAGTCTTCTGCCGAATAAAGGTGAGCAGCAATTAGCACTGCCATTAAGGAAGGATTGTCTGTCGAGAATTACAGAAAATATATGTGTTCCATCAACCTCTTATGAGTGATAACGGAACACGAAAAAAAGAAGCGTATTACATTGTTGATATTCAACTAAAAGGATACGTCGTACCGCCGTACGTACAATGTAAATATTCTACAATCCTCAAAGATGTAAAGCGACCAACTTACACTGGAAACCAGCCTGAAAATGATCTAGGAAACGCACTTTTCATCCAAAGTGGGTGACAATAGGACTATGGTCATTGTGGTTTATATCGTTCGCTCTGGGTACATTGATCGGTTGAATAGGGGCTTACCTAGATGGTGTAACATTTATGACAATATCATATCGATTACATAAGATTTTTCGTTGTGCTCGATGACTTTATGTAAACCATTGTACGCAGGATCTGATGGGTCGTACACGGCATTACGAGGGGAAAAACATACGATGAAGTCTTTAATTCTTTGAAGATAAATACTTTTCCTCCGCCGTGGCGACGTAAAGGAAATGGTTTTAAAATATTAACATGTCCTTTTAGGCAGTCTATGTAGTCGGACGTAGTATACGAGGTGTGTTCAAAAAATACCAGGAATTTTTAAATTTCGCGGGTCTGGAGAGTCCGATTGTTAAAATTTTTTTTATTGTGTTGGTATACATGCCCCTGAAGTATGATAAAATTTTCAGCTATATTCACTGTTTACTTTGTCTGCGATAGTCGCTAAGGTTTGACGTGTTTTTATGAGCTCGGCGATTTTCGTTTTTTAAAAGAAATGGATCAAAGAATTTGTATTAAATTTTGCGTAAAAAATGAAATAAAGTGTAACAAAGTGTGTGAAATGTTACAAAAAGTCTATGGTGAGTCTGCTATGAAAAAAACAAGTGTTTACAAGTGGTATAAGCGTTTTCAAGATGACCGCGAAGACGTTGAAGATGACGAACGCTCCGGTCGACCCAGCACGTCAACAATCGATGAAAATGTGAAAAAAGTGGAAAAAATGGTTCTGAATGATCGCCGAATCACAATTAGAGAAGTTGCTGATGAAGTTGGCATATCAATTGGCTCATGTCAACATTTTTTCAAATGTTTTGGGCATGAAACGGATGGCAGCAAAATTCATTCCAAAACTACTGAACTTTGACCAAAAAAACAATCGCATGAACAACGCTCAGGAGCTGTTAAACGACGTCAACGACGATCCAAGTTTGCTTGAAAGGGTCATAACTGGTGATGAAACATGGGTGTACGGTTATGGCGTCTAAACCAAAGCACAATCGTCCACCTGGAAGCATTCAACGTCACCAAGAGCGAAAAAAGCACGTCAAGTTCGATCAAATGTGAAGGTTTTGCTTACAGTTTTCTTTGACTGCAGGGGCGTGGTGCATCATGAGTTCTTATCACAAGGTCGTACGGTTAGTAAGGAGTATTATCTTGAAGTTATGCGACGTTTACGTGAAGCAAAGAAAAAATGAAAAAAACGCCCCGATTTATGGAAAAACAATTCATGGCTTTTGCATCACGATAACGCACCTGCTCACTCGTCGTTGCTTGTTCGTAATTTTTTGGCCAAAAACAATACCGTAGTCGTACCCCAACCTCCATATTCACCAGATATAGCTCCGTGTGACTTTTTCCTGTTCCCAAAGTTGAAGAGACCCATGAAAGGACGGCGTTTTTATTCGATTGAAGAAATAAAGGCCGAATCGCTGAGAGTGCTAAGGACATACTAAAAAGTGAATATCAAGAGTGCTTCGAAGATTGGAAAAAACGCTGGCATAAGTGTATTATATTTGGGGGGGATTACTTTGAAGGAGACCACATTGATGCAAACGAATAAATAAATATTTTTTTGGAAAAACGATAATTCCGGGTACTTTTTGAACACACCTCGTATAGTGTCGTTCGCGAGGAAGAATTTGGTGGGTAAAAGTATGCCTGAGCCATAGACTAGCTTTCAGCGGTTCTCTTTTAAGGCAGTACAATTGGCATCACGGAGATTCAGTTATTACCGTCATGACACTTTACTATAGCCTTCAATAGCCTATGAAATCGAGCATTCAGTCCCTGCACTTGTGGATGGTAACTTGTACATATCTTTTTCGTACCTAACAACACACATAATCCCGATAAAAGTGTAGACTCGAACTAGCGTCCCAGATCTATGATAATTCGCGAGTGTACGCCAATGTAGGCAGGCAATATGGATAACAAGATGGACGCGTCCGGAGCGGCTTCCAAATCTGCTATAAAAATTGCCTCAGGCCAACGAAAGAAACGATCGATAATTACACTGGTCAACAAGGATTTATCCTAACCTAATGAATAAAATTTTTCAGAAAGTAGGTAATGTCAACTGTTTCTTTTTTGAGTGGTTTAAT